AGCTCGCGAGCAATCATATTGACTGGGATCTGTGAGTCTCGCCCCCGCCTTACTCCTCTGCCCACTGCCCAGACCGCCCTGGGGAGCTGTGGGCACAGGAGGGCTCAGGGACACAGGAGGGCTCCTACCTGCCCCTGGAATTCCACACAGGGCTGGGCCTCCTCACATCACCAGGAGTAAGTGACCAAGTGCAGGGGCCAGTGGCCACAGCAATGGCCCAGCAGGCCAGTGTGGGTCTGGGACACAGAACCTCTTGTGCATCCAGGACACATGGGGACTGAATGGATGGTAGCCCCCAAATGAGGTCCCCTGGGAGCCTGTGAACGTGGCTTTATTCAGAAAAAGGGTCTCTGGAGACAGAATTAAGGATCTGGAGATGTGATGATCCCTGGTCACCCAGTGGGTCCCAAATCCACGAGTGTCCTTATAAGAAATAGGGGCATTAGGGACAGGGGAGCGGCTGTGTGACAAGGAAGAGGCTGGAGTGAGGAGGCTACCAGCCAAGGAGTGCTGAAGATGTCACCAGCAGCCGGGAGAGTTGCAGAGCAGATGCCCCCGAGCTCTGGAGCGGCCAGCCCCGCGCACCTTGACCTGCACTCTGGCCTCCAGAGCTGGGAAGAGCAAGCTCCTGAGTGAGCCACCAGGAAATCCCACAGGGACCACAGGGACCAAAGAGCAGGTCAGAGCAGGTCAGAGCAGGAAGACAGCGCGGAGGGCCCTAGGGGAACCTGTCACCCTGGAGCTGAGAGCCAAGCCGGAGAGCTCCGCGCAGGCAGGAAGCGGTGGCCACAGCGCCCATCCAGGCCAGGATGCCAACTCCCCGGGGGCTCATAGATGAGGGGCCACAAAGCAAGGACAGAAGGGACAGGGAAGCACAGACTCCAGGCACCTCCAGCTACCTGCCGGTCCACGGCAGAGGGCCCACCCTGACGGGAGCAGAGCCCAGCTGTGCCCCTCTGCACTGGCCAAATACCCACCAGCAGAACACCCAGGGCCAGGGCGGCCGGGCAGCTCCAGGACGCTGTGCCAGCATGGTGACCGCACAGCGACTTCGTGGCTACGCAGCCTCCCCCGGGGCCGCTCCCACCCTCCCGAGGCCCCCTGAGCAGCAGCTCCCAGGGGAAGTCCCCTTCTTGGAGACGCTCTCCCTACTGAAGTACAAGCTCTTGGAACAAGATAAAACTGCTTAATTTGTGAAAGCCACAAAGCCAGTCCAGAACAAGAAATCCCGACCTTGGCTGGAGGAATGGCCTTCTGTGCCTCGGCAGCCTGTCCCGCTCCGTGACTCACACCCCGCTGACAAGCAGGCAGCATCGTCCAGGGGAAGGCAGTGGCTTCAGAGAAGTCAGGGCGGGGTGGGGGGGGGAGGACCCCAGGGTTCCCCGCTCCTGAGGCAGGTGAGGGGAGAGAGGAAGAAAGAGGAAGCAGATCCAAGGGCCACTGGCATCTGCAGAAGTCCCTTCCCTGAGGCTGGGCAGACCACCGTGGACCCACCAGGACAGGAGCAGGCCACCACCACCCCCAGACAGCGGCTGGGCAGCCAGGCTGGACCCAACAGCCAGGGGTGTGAGCAGCAGCGTCCACAGCTGTGTCTAGGGATCGGCAGGTGGGGCACCCAGCAGGACAGGCCTCTGACCACACATGCACTCACCGTTGCCCCCAGCCCCATGGCCCATTGGATCACTGGTAAGGACGAAAGGAGCTGTCACCACTGATGGTGGGACAAAGGGGCACAAGCCAGAGGGCCCAGCGCCCAGGAAGGCAGAGAGGAAGGGATGCCACCTAGGGGCCTCATGGGTACCTCCTCAAGGTCACCCAGCAGGGACTGGACAAGAGCTTGCCCAGAAACCGGAGCCAAGAGCTCAGCCAAGGACCACAGGGGAGGCCTGGCGGCCTGCAAAGCATGCTGGGAGACAGCTCTGGGTCCTCCTCCCGGCTCCTAGTGCCGGTTTACAACGGGGTTTCAGGAGCGGGGAAAAAAAGAAAGGGAAAAAATTATTTTTAAAATAAAAACACATCCAAACAGGGATTGTGCTCTGCCATTCAGATCCCCAGGTAGTCGCCCAGTGGGGTCCGGCATGGTCATCTATAAAATGAAAGCTGAGGTGGGGTGTGGCTCACGGGTAGAGCACTTGCCCAGCATCCCCAGGGCCTGGAGTGTGATCCGCAGCGTGACTAAATAAATAAATAAATAAAGGCTGGACCAGAGGCCCCCTCCCAGCCAGAACATTGGAGTGACCTGTCCTCCGGAGCTGCAGCTGAGGAGGCAGAGAGGTCCATTCTCCGGGCAGCCTGTGGGAGGTGGCCTGCTCTGGGGTCAGCTCCACATCCCACGCCCAGGCCTAGAGAGGGTCTCTCCCAGTGTCCCCTGCCCCAGTCCCTGCAGATGGCCCAGGGCACCCGGGCTCTGCACCTATGCCTGACCTCAAGCAGGACCAGCAGGGCTGCACTTTCACAGCCGGCCATCCTCCTGCAGGTCTCTGGCTGCCCACCTCCAGGGCTCCGTCTACCACGCCTATTATTATGTGCCCCAAAATACTGCACGTTCCCCACTTCCCACGGCAGGATCCTCCCGGCCGGCCTCTCAGAGCTGCCCAGCCAATTCTGACACTGCCTCAAGAGTGGCAGGGGAGGATCCAATCCTTCCAAACGGCCACTGAGGGGTCTTTTTTTTTTTTTTAAATATTTATTTTTTAGTTTTCAGCGGACACAACATCTTTGTTTGTATGTGGTGCTGAGGATCGAACCCGGACTGCATGCATGCCAGGCGAGCGCGCTACCGCTTGAGCCACATCCCCAGCTCCACTGAGGGGTCTTTTAGGGACCCCCTGCACACACAGGATCCCCAACACAAGGACAGACCAGGGCCACGGGCACTTATGGGATGGCGTTCTTAGGCTGAGCATGATCAGGGCACCTCAGGACACCAGGAGCCGGGAGCGCGGCGCACACCTGAGGATTCTGCACCCGCGGGCGACCCCTGGCACCCGGCTCAGAGGGGTGCGCCCACGCGTGGGCACAGTCTCCAGCGCATCCCGAGGAGCGCAGCCCTGCTCGCCGCGCCACGGCACTTCCAGGGCTCGGCCTGGAAATCGGGTTTCCTCACTGGGGAGGCCAAAGCAGGAGGCGCCTCCCTTTCATTTATCCACTCACACCCCGCCCCACGGCCCGTGCCTGCTGGGGGTCCGCGGGAGCCACATGTGCACGTGCGCATGCACACGAGAGCGCACACATGCGCGCGCGCACGCCTCCTCCGAGCGCCGGGAGCCTCCACCTCTATAATCAACTGCCAGGGAGGCCCAGAAAAGCTATTTCGGGGAGGAGACCAAGACAGCCTTGAAGACAGACTTCGGTTGGCAGCAAGAACACAAACCACACAGTGGACAAACAGGCCTGGCGGCGCCCACCCCGAGCGCCACTGCAGGCCCCCACCCTTGCCCGGGCCTTAGTGCCCACATCACCGTGGACGCAGATGCAAAACTGGCACGTTGGAAAATGAAAGAGAAATTGCAAGGAGAGAGGAGAGCCGAGCTTAAATAAAAGCCAGACTTGGAAGCGCTTAGGTTTGGGAGAAACATTCCACCCCACGAACTGAGAACAGTCAAAAGGAAAATATTTCTCCAAAAATGAGTAAAAGTGACCCTTGGGTGCTTATTTCCCGCAGCATCAATAGAGCCCAGTCCGGGGAACTGGGAGGGGGAGTGGGGCGAGGAGGGCCGTCTGCCTACCTGTGATCCGGTCCCTCTCCATTCCTACGGGTATATTTAGCAGCAGGCGGGAGTCCCAGCGGCCCTGGTTCAGAGGCAGGCGTCCTCCCCTTTCTCACCCGTCCGTCGCCCTCCCTCTCTCTGCCTCCTCCTCCTCCTCCTCCAAAAACACTCTTTGTCTGGTCTAATTTCTTCAATCTGTTGCAATCACGAATGCATCCAAATTACCACATTTCCATGTGCTGATCATATGTTTGTGCTCCAAACTGAAGTAGCATTGTCTCTTCCAAACAGGAGGGAAAGGCAGCGAGGAGAGAGACGGGAGGGGGGAGGCTGGGGAGAGGAGGCCAGAGGTGGGTCCGGAGGGATCCCGCCGCGCCCAGGGTCCTCCTGCGCGAGGACCGGCCGCCTGGCCTTCGGAGCGGTGGCTTCAGCCGTCCAGCGTCCAGCTTCCGGCGGCGGCGTCCTCTCTCCACCCCCTCCAGCCCCCGCCGCCCTGAGCCTCGCTGCTTCTTTTTAATATCCACTTGGAGATGCTTAACTTAGGCTCTTGGAAACCAACTCGCAGAGTCAAATTCCTGGCGACTTCCAAAGTCTTTCATTTTCCCCGTCCGGCGATGCCGCGATTTCCTGGGGTTTAAGTGCTTAAAAAGCCCAGTTCCTGCTGCCTGCCTCGCCTGCCTCTGGCCCCACTGGCCCGGCCCTTCCTTGGCACCCCTACTGGGCTGGCTGGGAGATGGCCACCTCCCCAGGCATGCGAGCTGGGAGAAGGTTCCAGAGCACCTGCCCAGGATGAACCCTACGAAGGTGCCCTATGCTGCCAGCCTCTGTGTCAGAGGGAGCTGCCGTCCCCACCCCAGCAGAGGCTTCCTGGAAGATTCCTACCACAGAGCATGAGTCAGTAAGTCTGGGCAGTCCCCTGGGAGGGAGCAAGTCCTCTTGTTGCTCATTTCCCCAGACTCCTCGGCTCCCAGGGGGTGGGCAGCTCCCTGCCTTTTCCCACTGGAGTTCCAGGGGCTGCTCACCTGGAACCTCGGGGTCCCCACCAGCACCTGGTCAGTGTCTTGGGGGCGGGGTGGAGGAATTGGGCAGAGCAGGTAAGTCCCCGGTGGGGTAGAGGCATCCCCACCGCAAGGGTCCCTGCAAAACTGAGGCAGAGATAGGTTTTGCTTTCTCATTTCTGTTTAAAGGAAATGGATATTTGTGTCAGTGTTAAACTGAGGCTACTTCCCTAAAAACTCCAGATTTTTAGCTTCTCTTGACAAAGTGAGGGGATGTGGTCAGACAGGGGCACTTCCTTCCTGGCCTGAAGACTGCAGTCCTCCCTTGGCATCTGCTCCAGTCCCCAAGGTCTCTTACACATTCTCACTAGGTGCCTGCCCCCCAGAGGCTTCCAAATTTACAATCCCTGCCTCAGCACAGGTGAGTTATGCGTGGCCAGGTAAGGCTCCGGTATCGGTATTGTTTTCAGCTGGACGACAGAGCCAAAGGCCCTGATGTGTCACTGACACTTTGCCACCTGACCCCCTCCCTGCCTGGGACAGGACCCCCCAATGCACTGGCCTACAGCAAGGGCATTTCTTGCAGGATTCGGGGGTGGGGGTATAACCTCCAGCCTCCTGGGAGACACGGAATAGCAACTGCCCCCTCCCAAGGAGCTTGAAGGGCAGCCCCACAGGACAGTCTGCACACAGAGAAGGTGGGGACAGTGTCTTGGTCACGGCAATGGGCTGAATAAGGGCCCTAGATCCTAGAACCCGCAACTGTGACCAATTTGGAAAAGGGTCTCTGTAGGTGTGACTAAGTGAAGGATGGGGACATGACCCTGGATCACCCAGGTGGACCCTAAAGGCCATCACGCGTGCCCATGTAAGAGGGAGCTGTAGCTGCACGGAGCAGGACAGGGAACGTGGAGAGAGAGGGTGAGACTCCGCCTGAAGGCTGGGAGAGCCTGAGCCACCGGAGGCTGGGAGAGGCCCCGGGGCCTCCCCTGGCCTCTGGAGGGAGCCCAGGTTTGCAGACAACTCGATTCAGACCAGCGAAGCTCAGGTCAGAGGCGGTGCCTCCAGAGCCCTGGGAGGGCACGGCCGCAGAGTTTTAGCCCTCCCAGTTTGGGGGAGCTCGCTACAGCAGCCATGGAACCCCCAGCCAGCACCCCAGAAGGATCGAGAGGCACGTTCGCTGTAGCTGTTTTCTGTTACTCAACCTCTAAAACACTGTCACCCGCCAGGGACCATCGCTGACAGAGCAGTGAGAATCGCGGGGGCCTGGGGGTGAGCTGTGTACTCCTCTGACTCTGAAAAAATTTCTGCTTTTTTCTCCGATTACAACTGTAATGTCTGTTCGTTGTATTAAGTTTAGAAACCACAGAAAAAGTACAAAGAAGCCCTGTTAATCCCACACCAGCCTCTCCAGCACCGTGTCCCTCCTGCAGGCAAGCCAGGAAGGCCCGGGAGGCCACCGACCTGGCCAGCTGGCGGAAACGGGGGGGAGTGGCCACGGCCAGGGCTGTGCCCGCTCTGGGTTCACTGCTGTGGTCTGTGCAGGGCCCAGCTCAGCCTTGACCCTCAGTTCTCCATGGCATAGTTGAGCTCAAGGTCTGTTTCTCCTCTGTGCCTAAAAATGCATGCATTCTGGCCCAAGCAGGGGACGACGTGAAACCAAAAGCCCGGCGGCGCCCATTGGCTCCGAGGAGGCCTGAGTTAGTCACGAGCCAGCTCTGAGCAGGGTGCGGAGGTAAGGCCAGGCTGCCAGGAGAAACGAGGCTCCCGCCCACTGCCTGTGGTGTCCAGGGCTCAGGTGGGCAGCCTTCCAGGCAGCCCAAGTCCCAGGAGTGGGTCCCACATGGTCCGCCCTCGGGGGGACAGTGAGGAGGTTTCTGGGGCTGTGTAACCCCTTACCCCCCCGTCTCACACTCCCCGGGCAATGACAGCGTATTAGGCACAGTGAGGCGTCCAGGACAGCTCAGTTTCCCAAGTGGACCTGGCTTGGCGCTCCGGGGAGGCAGGGCCCTGGGGCCATAGCTCTGGGAACTCGCTGTGCCAGCCACAAGCCCCAGCTCCCACCCCCTGGCCTGCCCATAGTCAGGGTGCTGTCACCAACAGCCCCTTCCAGAAGATTCTCAAGCAGCACCTCAGTCCTCACCTCACATCAGGACACCCCTGGTGGCTTTGCAGGGTCACTGTCACAGTTCTCAGACCCTCCTAACTGCAGAGTGGAGCTCGCCGGCACAGAGCCCACTTGGAGAAGCAGCCAGGGGCCCGAGGAGGGTAAAGAGGGACGGTGAGGACCACTTCGCCTCTTAGACATGGCCGGGCCCCAGGGCAGCCAGAACCCGCAGGTAAGAACGAGGGCCCCACTCACTCTGCTTGGACCCTGCTCAGGGTGAGCAACAGAATTAAGGCCAGCGGCCGCCCCTCACTCCAGCAGGGCCTGGGGACCAGCTGCTCTGTCAAGGCTCCTCAGATGCTCCCTCTGTTAGGGAATCATCCATGGTTGTCCCTCCCTCCTGACCTGCCCCCAAATGCAGCTGGACCCTCAGGGACAGTGCTCCATGGGAGCCTTCTCGGTTTGACTGTCTTCCTTAGTGGAAATTCATGCCCCAGCCTGCAAGGATGCACAGATTGAGCCTACGCTCCCTGTGGGGCAAAAGGGTCACTTCTCTGTCCCCACCCACCTCTCACACATCCGGCCCAGCAGTGGGTTCAGTTCTCTCGCCCCAAGCACAACTCTCGAGCACCACAGCCTCACCTTAGTCCCCTCCAGAAAGCACATGGCATGACCCTGCTCCCGCTGAGAGGGGACAGAAACTGTGAGGTGTCCCCAGGGTGGCCTGAGCTGTCAACAGCATCCAGGAGGCCCTGGGGCTGGCCCAGCTATCTGACTCTGACGTGGGCAGCAGCGGCCCCGACATCAAGCTGGCAGGGTGGTGCCACCTTGCTCCTGGTGCACACCTGGGGAGGGTCCTGCAGGAGTGGGGAGAGGATCTGCTGAAAGCCCACTTTCTAATGCTCTGGGCTCAGATTTTCTGCCACCTGCCATGCCCCCCTCCCTAATGCAGGGACTTGGGAACCTTCCCGGTGAGTGCCAGCTACAGGGACATGCAGGCTCACTTTAAACAGTGACTTCTCCGAGCCAGGTGCTGCAGCCCATGCCTGGAATCTTGCTGACTTGGGAAGCTGAGGCAGGAGGATCGCAGATTTGAGGTGAGCCTCTGCAACTTAGGAGACGCTCTCTCAAAATAGAGTAAAATAAAAAGGGCCGAGGTGGCCGTTCAGCAGTGAAGTACCCTGGGTTTAATGCCTAACACCAAAAATAAATAAATAAAATAAACGGCTCTTCTGTTCATTTCCTGCTTTTTCCCAAACTCGCCCACTTAAGTTTGCCACCCCTCTGAATTAAAAATAAAGGAGCTGGGTCCCATGGCCCCGGGGTGCTGACCCGGCCACAGTTGCTGCTGCCGTAGCCACCAAGCAGCCTCCAGTGCAGCCTTGACCCAGCCTCGGGGGCTGCATCTTCTCTGCACTTTTTATTAGACCTCAAGATTCGTCTGTTCCTGAATAAATAAAAGCCAGCTCCTCTCTGCTCCTGGGGCGGCTGCAGGGTTCACTGGTGTCGATGGCATGGGCTAGCCGGCGGCTTTGGGAGCCCCTCCAGGTCAGCGTGGAAGGGGACCAAGGGGATGGGAGAGGCAGCCCAGCCGGGGCGGATTCCACCGCTAACGGCCTCACGCTCAGCCATCCATCCAGGGCTGCAGGCTGACCGGAGCCAGAGCTGGCGCTTCACTCCTACAGGGGTCTCGGCTGGTGTCTGCCCAGAGCAGGAGAGACGGGGAGGCCAGGGGAGGCCAGGGGAGCCGGGGTCCCTCTTAGAGTGAGACAGGAGCTGGCGCTTCCACTTCCCACCGGGAGCCCAACTGCCTGCTCCGTAGGTGCCCAAGGACTGAAAGCCAGCGCGTTATGATCCCAACCAGCACCTGCCCACAGAGCTCTCTGCAAGGGTGTCAGTGCTCCATATCCGCAGCCCAGGAGCCACCAGCGGCCAGTGCGCCCGGGCAGTGGGCAGGGCTCTGCACTCACGGTGGTAACTTAAATTTAAGCCCAGCGCTGCCTGACCACTCCTTCTACTGTCTTCCTCGCCCTCCCTGGAGACAGTGGATCACCGTGACCTTCCTCCCCAGAAGGCAGGCAAAGGGAAGAGCTACTTCTTAGCCAAAGCTCAAGAAGGCCGATACTTCTATTTTAAATTGACTTTTTTATTCTTTTTAGGTGCATATGACAGCAGAGTGTATGTTGACATAAACACCTGGAGTGTGACCTCTAACTAGCATCCCGTCCTCGTGGTGTGCCCGATGTGGGGTTTCCCGGGTGTGGAGTCAGCCAACTTTTTGTCTCCCCAGCCTTCTCTTATCAGGGTCAGCTGGACAATGCCCACTGTCTGCTCTGCAAAAACCCCCCTGTGGTCCAGAGGGGACAGATGAACCAAGGCAACCAGCTAACGGGACATCACAACTGGAGCATCATTATCCTGCAGCCCAGCAGGGACCACAGGGAGGGGAGGGCTCTTTCCCAGAGGGAATGCCTGCTGAGGTGACATGGAGCAGGGACAGAAACACCGATAGAGAGGTAGTCAGGGCCAGGCAGGGAGCAGTTCGAGCCTGGTGCTCGGGGCTTACAGTGGACACACGGGGGTGGGGGGGACCCAGGACTCTGTAAGTAACAGGACTGTGGCCAGGGTTAGGTGGTGGGAAAGGGTTAGGTGGTGGGAGCCTGGCATGGGAGAGGGACGGTAAGTGTCCCCTGGCTGTGTATAGGGAGGGGCTTGTGGCAGGGAGATGGGGTGGGGATGAGGACATCTACGGAGAGACCACAGAGGCTGGACCAGGACATGACCAAGACCCTGAGCAGCCTGCCGGGGTTACTGAGGAGAGGGGGGATTGGCCTGGGGGTGCTGAGGAGGCAGAGGTCAAGGTCGACACTTGAGTACCTAGGGGGTGGCAAGGCTGGTGCTTTAGAGAAGAGAAGGCGGCGCAGGCATCCATGGAGGGAGAGGAGGGAAGGAGGGAGGTGTACCCTGGGGAGCCCAGAGGCAAGGTCCCCAGCAGCAAAGCTTCCACCAGCCTGTCCCGCAGCGGCTCCTCCACAAGGCGGGCGTTTGCCCTCGTGGCCGGGCACGGCAGCTAGCCACCCAACACACAGGCCCAGAGCAGCCCCTCTGTACTAAGGCACATGGCACGGTGCCCTGAGACAGCTGGCGCTGGCTTGGCAGGCCCGCCTCATGGCCCTACTGTCTGCTGGAGTGGTGGCAATTAAACTGCTAGTTGCAGCCAAGTGTCACGGGTGTTAGGCCAACAGCTCCCTGGGTGGGGCCTGGCCAGGCCTGCAGCAAGGCCTTCTTCCTCTAAGAGGGGTGGGAAGGTGGGTGGGGGAGCTCCTCCTGCGTCCGCGTCCCTCCTGGCTCAGACGCCCAAGGCAGAGTATTTCAGGGCAGTCCTTTGGTGGCAAGGGCCACTTACCTACAACAGCCTGGCAGGGGGTGTGTACCAGGGTCCTGTGGCTGCCATAACCAAGCACCACAAACTGGGGGCTAATTGTTCTGGAGGCCAGAAGTGCCAATCCAAGGTGTGGCAGGGCCAGGCTCCTGGGAAGGCTCTGCGGTGGGGGCGGGGAGGTCTTCCTGCCTGAGGCTGCGTACTCCCACCTCTCCTGGCTCCCACGCGCTTCTCCTCTGCTTTCTTATGAGGACCCTGCCACTGGAATCCGGCCACCCCTAACCCAGGCGACCTGTCTTAAGTTCTTTCCACCTGAAAAGGTCTGTTTCCAGTCAAGTCACATTCTGGACCTGACCTTTGGGCAGTGACATCACTCAGTGCAATACTGCGGGCCGATGGTGGGGCTGGGCAGGAGGCCAAAGAGCCCAGAGGTGGGGGAGAGAGGAATGAGCAGACCAGAGACGCACTGAATGCAGAGCAGAAGGCTCCAGGGTCCCGGCTGGAGGTAGGAAGTTCAGACACAGCCCCGGAACTGCGCACCGTGGGAACTGGGCCAAAGGTCGCCTGAGACTGTGGTCCGAGAGGCTGCTGCCGAGGGCATAGGAAGGGGTAGCGCGGGGTAGCAGGGTAGCGTGGGAGCAGGCCCAGGGCTCGGGAGGGAGCTTTGGCAACATGTAGGAGGGCCAGGATGGGCATCCGGTAGCCCAGCCGAGCCACCTGGGGAACACCTCTGCACATCCACGTGTGTGAGAAGGCTCCTGGCCATTTCCGCAGCAGGGCCCCCCCCCCCCCCCCCCCCGCCAGGGAAGCCCACCAACAAACCCAGGGCAGGAACCACCTCCCCCTGCAGAGGAATGCGGTTTGCTGTCAAAATAAACGAAGCAGAGAAACCCAGCTCCTCACAGCAGAATCTCAAAGTCCCTAGTGTGCAGACAAGCAGAGAGCAGAGGACAGCAATTATGCAATGCCGAAGGTATACAAAGGAAACACAGGTCGTTCAGACAAAGAACCACAGGCACGGGCAGGCCTGACAAAGACCAGCCAGTTCAGGAGAGTGTCATTGAGGGAGCAAGCGGGGGCAGAGGGCCCCTGGGGCTTTGACCTTAACTGTCCTGTCTCATTGCTTAAATGGGAAGGTGGGTACCTGGTGTTCTGCTCTAGTATTCTTTATACTTTTTTATTTTATATTTTGTTACTGGGCATTGAACCCAGAAGCACTTTACCACGAGCTGCATCCCCAGCCCTTTTTAATTTGGGGGACAGGGTCTTGGTAAGTTGCTGAGGCTGGCCTGGAATTTGCGATCTTCCTGCCTCAGCCTCCCAAGTCTCTGGTGTTACAGGTGTGCCCCATTGCTCCTGGCTCATCCTTTACGTTTAAGAAATACATCTAATAAATCTATTTCAGAAAACAAAAAACAAGCACAGAAAGTGAGTGAACTTGTGGGTGTCCTCTGAACTGAGGAACCAGCCTGCACTAGAAATGGCCAAACAGGCCTCAAGACGAACGTGGAGGGGAGGTATGAGACGGAGCCCACTACCCTTCTGGGAAAGGGACAGGGTGGAGTCCTCAGTGTCACAGGGTGTGTGACAGAGGCTGGGAAGAGTGGAGGGGTGAATGGGAGCCCCACACGGACAGCTAGGACAGGGAGTTTGGGTCCAGGAAGGACGCCCTGCCTGGACCCCTGTCATGGCCACAGTGTTGGAGTTGGGAGCCAAGAAAGGGTGGCTCCCTCCGGCCGGAGCCCACAGAGGCGGACTGCGTGTGTCAGCAGGCGGCCGTAGGGAACCTAGATCACCGGCTTGCAGCTTGGGGCTTCGGCAAATTATGCCTTAGGCTTCCAAGGCGGCCAAGGCGGTGCTGCCAAGTGCTGACGGCACAGAACCGCCCGGTCTGAGCACAGAGAAGCAGCACCCAGACAGAGGCTTTGTCCACGCAGTCCGAGGTGCCAGCTCCGCAAAGTGCCCCTAGCCCACCCCCACCGAGGCTGACCAGCAAGAAGGAGGGAGATGGAGGGGAAGACCAGTCACAAAGCCAAGGGGCCCCAGAGAAAAGGCCCCAGACTACCAAGTGGTTGGTGGACCAGCTTGTCTGGGGGTGGGGGGGAGTGCCGCTTAACCACAATCCTGAGTCATCCAGCAGCCCAGGGGACTCCAGCCAGGGCGTCACCTCCTCTACCCCCACCCCCATCTCACCCCGAATTGCAAGGGCCTCACACACACTGCACATCCACAGTCACCCAGGCCACCCATGCCACCCCTGTTACCGTGGCCACTCCCTGCAGAGAGCCGCCCACAGCCACTCGCAGGCCTGGGGTGGGTAGCACCAGAGCACTGGAGGAGGGACCCGGGAGAGGTCTGTGTTGGCCCTGGAATTGGTGCAGGAGGATGCAGGGTACAGAATTCTGGGACCCCAGGCAGCCAACATGGTCTAGGGCTGTCCATGTCCACAGCCGCTAGCCGCATGCCAATACTAACTGGAAACTAATAGAAAATTAACTAATTAATTCTAAGCAAATGGATGAATAAACTTACAAATGTGTATTTGAAGTGCGCGATAGACGCGTGTGGTTAGTACTCTCCTGGACAGAGCTGAATGAATGGAATGTTCCACTGGACAGAGCTGGCCTCAAAGGGACTGTGGGCTCTGAGGGGCTCGCAGCTCCTCCCCCTGGGGCCGGGGCACAGCTGGGAAGGGCCAGAGTGAGTCCGTCTGGCCCGGGTCTATGGCAGGCCTGATTCATGGATGACTTATCCGAGGGGATTCCCAGGCCCTTCTGTGACTCCGATTCCTCCTGCAGAACAGCTGCTCATGAGGGTGCAGCCCTTGCCTGCTCTGTCTCCATATGTCCCTCTGTCCAGCCTGGGTCTGGCACTTAGTCCCCAACACACATGCAGATGAGGGCAACATCGCGGGGCTTCCCCAAGAGCGGATCATCTCTGAGTCCCTTTCATCTCTGTGTCCCAACATCTCTTCTGAACAGAGGCCACCAGAATGAGGACACATGCCCCAGTTTGGCCTCTGGAAGGAAGAGCCAAGGTGGGCTCTGGGAACAGAAGCTGGGATGGCCACACAGCCCTCAGCCCCTGCCCGGGCTGGCCCCGTGGTGGGACGAGCCTCTGCAAGCCTGGGAGAGGCGATCCCTGCCCAGGGCTCAGCCTGGGGAGCATCTGTTTCCCTCCCCACTGGTCATCAGGAGAAAAGCTGGCCACAATAGGTCACCACAGGAGCCCCTGACTTAATCCTGGATCATGCAGACTGGATTTGCTCCAGGCTGCAAGGCTGCAGGGGGCTGGCGCCGTGGTCTAGGATCAGCCCTGAGCGCAAAAGCCACCCCTTCCACAGCTTGCCACCCTCCACGCCTCTAACAGAGGCCACCCTGCAGCGACCACCTCTGGCTCTCTCCTCCGGCCTGCACACAGGGCTTCTCCCGTGCCTGGGGGTGGCTACCTGTGGAGCTAGACGGCCCCTGCCCCCACATGGACACGGCCGGGATCCACCTTATGTGCAGCACCTAAGACCACATCCCCCAGGGCTGCACCCACCCAGGAAGGCCAGGTGGAGACCAGGTCCCACAGCGGGCCAAGGCCCAACAAACCACTTACCTGGACCGGTTGGGTCACCTAGCCTCCGGAGACGGCCGCTGGAGGTCCGAGTGACTCCTAAAGACAGAGAAGGACAAGGATCACACGAGGCCATGGCTCTCCCTCCTGCCGGGTGGTGACACAGGTGTGTCTTCACTTTTCCACCTGCCAGGGACTCCGGAAGCAGGTAACCCCAGACGAGCAGCCACCTGTACCTGGGAGTGACGGCGGCCACCCACCTGGGTGCTGGCACTGGGCCAAACCCTTACCATCCCATCTTGCAGATAAGGAGCTGAATCTCAGCTGGGTTGGTGACTTGCCCAAGGCCACAGAGCACAGAGGAGCTGAGCCCACTGTGAATCCAAGTCCATCAGACTCCAAAGTCTGGTCCTGGCCCAAGCATCCTCCTGGGCAGGGCGGCAGCAGGTGTCCACTGAAGTCAGCCAGGCTCAGGCCAGCACCCCTAGAGCCACGTCTGCTTGTTTTATGCACAAAGGTCTCCCTGCTCCAGGGTCTCCATCACGGGCCTAGTCCTGTCCCAGCCCACGTGGATCCCAGGGCTGGGGACTGCTGGACTGGATGTGGGGAAGCTGGGGACCGAGTTTTCTCTCCCACCCCAGATCCACGCAGCCTCGTGCAGCACGCGCTGCCTCCACCCATCAGCCCCTTGGCCCAGGGCTGGCTGCTGGAGAGGCTTATGGAGGGCAAGTCCTAACTCGAGGAGATTTGCAAGGTGCTAAGCTGAGCAAACCCCAAAACTGCCAGGTGGAACAGGTTCAAGAATACGGCCACCAACCCATGGCTGCCAGGTTGCAGCATCTGGGGCAACGCCATGCCGCCCCTCCTCCAGAGAGCCGCAGGGATACTCCAGGCTAGCCCAGCAGAGGACCTCCCCACCCCCACAACAGACGAGGGCCCAGGCTAGACCCAGACAACTGCCTGCGGCCTCCACCATCTGACACCGCCGCCTAGCTGCTGGTCAGAGGGGATGGCTTCCCCTTGGGATCCCAGAGACTCTGGCAGACCCATCCACCCATCTAGCGGTTCACCCCTCCACCACCCCCAGCCCACCCCTAGGCCATGCCCAGGCAGAAGTCGGTGTGGCCAGCCGTGTTTCTGAAGGTTCTGGGCAGTTCCCCCCAATCGCCAGGGAAGCCTCAACGAGGTGGCCAGGGCAAGCTGGGCCTCCGAGGAGAGGCTTCCACCGGTCCAGGCTCTGGCAACAGGCCGAAATCAGGTTCGCACCCCTGGCACTCAATTCACCAACCCCAGAAGGCGGTGCTACCACCCCCATTTCCCAGCAGAGGGAGGGAAATGGGGCTCCTAGCTGAGCAAGTCACCCAGGGTCAGCAGCAGCTGGATTCTCCTGCAGGCCTCTTCTGTGTCACATGGAGGGACGCCAGCCCCCTCGGCACCCACCAACCGATGAGATCTCTGCTCCGGGCGGAGCTCTGAGGACCCTGCAGGAGGCCCAAGGATGCCGGGGCAGCCCACTGGACGGGCGGACACAGGCTGCCCATGGCTTCAGGCTCCTGGAACCGACAGCCCCGTAAGGCCAGGAGGGGGTGCGGGGAGGGGAGAGGCAGGTCCTGCTCCCAGGCTGCCAAGGGCAGAGTAGGGAGTCTGGGCTCAACTCACAGCCACGGAAGGCTGTGGCCCTCCCACAGACACACTGTATGTCACATGATCGTCACAGCCTTCTGTTCCACAGCCTCGGTGAACTACTGGGTGGCTCAGCAGTCCAGAACAGAGTGGCCCTAGTGAATGGCAGTTATGTCCCTACGTCTAGCAGGCCCCGGACATGGGAACTTCGGACATGGGAACCTCGGACATGGGAACCTCGGGTGAGGAAGGGCCAAACATTCCTGTGGACTGA